AAAATTGGCTGTGGGCAGGCAAGTGCAAATCTAAATAAGGCTTCTGATTTTGTTCCACCGTTCCTATTTTTAATCTTTTTTTTAATGTGTACTGTATGTACCTTCAAGTCAGTTGACTCCTGGCAACTGCCTGGACTAATCCCTGCAGTTTTCTTGACAAGATTTTTGGAAGGGGTTTGCCATTACCTTCTTCCTAGGGATGAGATTGCTTCATGCCTAATGTGGGACTAGAACTCAGAGCCTTGCAGTTTCTATCCTGGTGCCTTAAGCACTACAACAAACTGGCTCTCTTTTAACCTTTAATTTCCTTTTAATTTTCCTGTGCTTCCTATTTCTCGCCTTATATTTACCCCTTTCTTCATTCTCTGCTCCATTCATTTTTTTCCCTTCATCTCTCCAAGCTGGTCCAGATTTTACATTTGTTTAACACCAGCCTTCCCCAACTTGATATTCTTCAGATGTGCTAGCATTGCAACTTCAAGAATTTCCATCTTTCAAGAATTCTGGTTCAGAATACTGGGACTTGCAGTCTCTCCACATCAGGCATGTGTCTGGCCACTTTGATACATGAAATATATGTAATACAGGTAGTCCTTGAGTTGAGTTAAGACCACTTGTTCAGTGATTGCTCAAAGTTACAACGGCACTGAATGAGTGGTACTTATGACTGGCTGTTCCAGCACCCCTGTGGTCATGAGATTGCAATTCGGAGCTTGGCAACCAGCTTGCACTTACATGATCACCAAGCAAAGTCAATGGGGAAGCCGGCAGGGAAGGTCACAAGTCACTCCTGTAAGTTCCTCCTGCTGCTTTTTCTCCCGAGGAGCCCCACTATGGAGTAGAAGGATCTCATACTCAATAGCACCCCCCCATCAACCCACCTGCGTTCTGTAGTGCCTGCCCGTGGCATACCTCTCCCCCCAGGACTCCTGCCTCTTCCTGCTTAACAACCTGCACAGTCCTGGGATTACGACAGCTACCAGGACTGCAGGGAGTGACGTCATGCTTTATGACCACATCACTTAGCGATGGAGGTTCTGGTCCCAATTGCCATAGTAACCCAAGGGCTATCTGTAAGTTGATAGTTATTAAGAAGAATATGGCCAGTAATAATCTCTTCTGGGTCCTTTTACTTGTATAAGAGTTTATTCCACCTGTGATCTTTCTCTTAGGTATCAGGCTATTTCCACATCAGTATCATTATTCATCATTGTCATAAACTTAATTACTTCAACTATTATGGCTGAGCTATTTATATCAGAAAGATTACATTGATATTTTCAGAAGAAATGAGCTTATTACATGCCACATTATAGTCCCACATGAATCTTGTCTTTTTTTTTTTTTTTCCTTGCTGATATGCTTTTCTCTTTCTCTTTCCCTTTCCTCTGGAGTCAGGTCCAGTTTTTTATTTTTGAGAGAGGAAATAATACTAATTCCTTTATTGGTGTTTAAATAGATTTATTTTGCCTGCAGTTGAAAGAGAAAAATATGTTGTCACCAGTTCTTAAAGAAAATAAAATGTTGGTAAATGGGAAATTTATGGAAATGTGACACAAGTGAGTTGTTTCTTGTGGCACTGTATCTTTTTCTTTTAATCTCACCCAAAATGGGTAGATTTCCCAGCCTTACACTCAGGTTCTGATTCTTGTGCTTTGGCTTCTTTTGCTATCAGTAGAAAGGAGATACTGTCAAACAGCCAGGAATGGCAGACCGAGCAATGTGAGATCATTATTGCAAAGTTGATTATCGGTCGTGCATAAAACTGATTCACAATAAGAGATCTATCAGTCTTGAGTTACTGTGGCTCATGTGATGAATATCAGCTAGTTGATGGTGGCAAAGGGGGAGTGGGATAGGAGTGCCTTAGCCATAGCTGAATGTCAACACTTTGTCAAGGAAAGTGATGGATGATTGCATCATGAACACCAGTTGCTTTAGTGGGAAAGTTAGATGAACATTCAGTTGGGTCTGTTCAAGGACTGGATATCCCTAAAACAAATGGTAGCTGTCACATTTCCATTTTTGTGAAGAACTATCCTTATGTCACCATCAATTTCATGCCCTGTTTCTATAATAGTGATTTAATTAGGCTTCTGTTGAGATAATTACCTGCATTGTTTGCCTTTCTTCAACAGAAGTTTAAAAGACCCAAGTAAATCATGGAGGTTTGAATTTGCTCAATTTCCTGCAGAAGGAGAGGTCAAGAGGTCCCAGACTGTAGACACACTTTTCAGGCAGGCAGCAGGGGGTTGGCTCTTAATGGTGCTTCTGCCATGCCTAAATGCTCTTTTGAAATGTTACTCTCAAATGAAGAAACTTGATTTTTGAAGAGTTCACTGTTGGGTGTCACAAAGTTGAATGTATTCTTTCATTTTATTCCAGTTTTGTAGAGTTTTTACACTTTTTTTCTGACTAGATGATATCACAACCCAACTAGGCCTGTGCAAAATGTTTGGAAGAGGTATTTTGCAATGAGCATTAATGTGAATAAAGCACCTTTCTTCAAACTGTTAAAGCAGCTGTATCTTTTGTAAGGCTTGCAGAGTTGCCTCAAAAATGGGCTCCAGTTATTTCCTCATGTTTCCTTATGAAAATGTTCCATCCAAGCAGCTGCTAACATGGGTGGGGCAGTGTATTTTCAGTTCAGTTCTACTGCCAAATTAACAGTGAGTCTATTTAAGGAAGCTTTTGAGGTGATGAGTATAGCTGCATTATTTCTTTACTAGTGAAGTGCTAGATCAGAGTTCTATTATGTTGGGGTTTTTTTTTTACTTGCATTATAGCAACTTGAGATAGGCAACTGGTTCCCTCCAGATGTTTTGGATTACAGTTCTCATAAGTTGCAGCCATCAAGGCCAGCGGTCAAGTATGATGTAATTCATAATCCAGAGCATCTGGAGGCTAGGTTTCTACTGTAGCATTTGCTTTTGCTGTTTTCTTTTAATTGATCTTGGCATTTTTAATTAATAGTTGACTTTTATGAGAAGAAGATTTAGAATTATAGAGTCTGAAGGGGCTTCAAAGGTCAACAGTTCAAGCTTGCTTATGGAAGAAGTTGATTACTATTCAGCTGATGAGTGGCTAAGCTCTATTTAAAAATATTAACCAAGAATTCAACAACAATTAACCAAGAATTCATAGACAGCTGTTCCACCATCAAATAAGCCTTACTTTCAAGATATTCCTCCTAATCTTTAATCAAATGTCCAGAACATCACAAGCCACTTCCTGTTCGAGAAGATACACTTCTGGAAGTTGATAATCCAGTCCTGGAATGCTCAGATCATTCCTGTTCCAGGGATAAGCCATGGAGTTCTGCACACAGCTGCAGCTGTAATCATGTGGACCATATACCAGCATTTAAAATAAGGATCTAGTCATTTATTTTTTAAAGCAAATTATTTTACTGTACTTGGTTGAAGCTATTGCCGTGCATCCTTTAAGGGCCAATATGCGCATTTAGGCCTCTGGAGGTAACAGCATCTGTCTCTCCTTGGCTTATCTCAGAAACAAAGTAATGTCTGCTCTTGTTAAATTTTGAATGAAGGGCCACTGGGTAATTACTGAGCTTTTGATTAGACTGGGAAATTGAACTCTCTTTCCATAATGCTGCTGAAAAAAAATAACATAGATGCAGTTACCAGGAGTGGAGATCTACTGAAAGGCATCTTCTTGACCTTTTTATGCACATCCAGCAAAATACATTGCATGTCCCTTTTCAGACTCCACTGAATTTAAAAAGGAGGGATTGCATAATTGCTCTTCCTTTTAAAAAAAACAAGCCTTCCTATATATTACAGAGAGAAAGAAAGTGGATTAGTCAAAAGAAATATGAAAATTTTTAAAGCATATTTTATCACCTTTCCATTAATCTTAAGACAGATAATACTATACTATTCAAGTTATTACAATTTTCTAATAATATTATTATGTGTTCTTTGTCTTTTCCATGCATGGACATTGTCATGCACTTTGGAGCAGAATCCAATGTAATTTGAAGGATTTAACATGGAACTGAAATTCAAGATCTCATATATTAAGCAAAGTGATTTAGTTGCCCAGATCTTTTAGATCTGTGTTTTATAGCATTCTGTATAATTGTGACTTTAAACAAAAAGTGAAAAATCTTTTTGGCCAACCATAATTTTCCTAAGGTTTTTATAGAGTCCAGATTCAATGAACCTCATTGATATAGCTGCTTTTTCAGTACTTATATGATTCTATTATTTTTGTCTTTCATCATGCCTGTACAGTAACTAGGAATGAAAAAGGTATTCATAAATGTCTTCTCCTGCAATTCCATCTTATTGTGCTAATTGCTCCTGTATCCTGTGTTTGGTTATATTGGCAGTATTAAAAATTAACCTTTCAAGCATTTAGAGGATATTCTTGATAAAGCCAAAGGACACTAAATAAGTTTGAAGCTTTGCTTATTTTCTTGTGTTGTTTTAGTGCTTAAGTGGTTAATATTTAGAACCATGGAACAACTCCATTCTTGTTGAAGTTAATGTTTTTTCTTTCTATGTAGGAAAAGTTATTCATGCCTACTTTCTGCCAGGTTTATGAAATTGCCTTTATTTCATATTACTCCAAAATTGTGGCACTCAAGCTGCTTACTGGCCTAGTTTTAGTTAATAAACAGTCAAAGCAGCATTTTAGAAGAGAGATGACTGCCAGAAGCCACCCAAAGTAGCTACATTTTAAAACCCTCTAGTGTGTCTTCCACTAATCTTTCTTTCAGCATTTTTTCCAGCTTATTTAAATACACTTGATGGTTTGCTCATGAACTAAAAATATATAAAAAGTAATGTTTAGTGGTCTCCTGTCTCTCATAGCGATAGCTTTTAAAATACATGTTTCTTTGGTTTCTTTGGTTTGTTGTTTGGATCAATTAAGATATTCATTAAAATGATCTCCTTTGTGTGTTTGTTTTGGAAATTTTCTTCTGTTATAATTAATCTGATCTTAGTTTGGTTCTCTGTGTTTCATTTTTTTAGAAATGGAGCAGTGTAAGCAATCCACTGTTTCTCCCACTGATACCACCCCAGTCGCAAGGCTTCACTGCTATTGTCTTGACATATGATCGTGTTGAAAGTCTCTTTCGAGTGATCACTGAAGTCTCAAAGGTACCAAGCCTTTCCAAGCTACTAGTTGTTTGGAACAATCAGAATAAAGTTCCACCAGAAGGTAAGTCAGATAAAGACCTTAAATGTTTTGGAGATCGCTTTTAACTCTAGTACTAGTGGGTCAAATTCTGAATGAGAAGAGTGTATGCTTTTGAATTGAAAACAAGAATGCTTCTAGAAATAGAAATAGATTGTTTCCTGGCAGGAAAAAATGGCGCCCTCATTTCATGATAGGAGTGGGAACTATATTTGTTAAATGCTCGAAACAGCCAGTTGCATTGGCTCACTCCTGATCTTCATTTGTAATATGAGTGCTTATTTTTAAAGCTTCTAAGGAATAAATTATTCTTGCTGTCCCAGTTTTATCTGATCATTGAGATCATCAGAAGGTTTTCTTGTGAATTGAGTTGAATGCTTACCAGACAGTGTTCTCTGTTGCTGGAACATTTTTCCCAGTCATGCTCACTTGACAGATACACATCCAGGTAAAGACCTGCCTATTTTCTGAGAATTTTAAACCTTTCTAAATCATTGAAGGGGGGAGGGGGGCAGGGCCTGCTGTCTTCTTGTGTCTACCACATTTTTACACTGCTGTTTTGTAGGGTGGAATGTTTTCTTGAGGAATATTTGCCAGACACCAACATTGTTTTATTTTAGGCACCAGGCTAAACTGTTTTTATTTCTCTGGCTGATAGTTTTTCTTTTTAAAGCATTGTAGAATAGCTTTAACTTGGTGATGATTTGCTGTTTGTTTTCCTGTCATTTTAACAGTTATTTCCTGTATTGTTAATTTCCTGTTTTTATTCTCCTTGTATACTACATTTAGGCTGTATAAATCTTTTTAAAAATCGATCAATCAATCATATATAAATACTCAGGTTTCCTCAACTAGGCAGCTTCCACATCGCTGTCAGGTGAAGATGATAAAAATTCTAGTCTACCACATCTGTACCTAGGTTGAAAAGAAGCATTTTAGTGGCTTCTTGCTATTGCTTCTGTACTGCTGTGTGTTCACTTTTTAATATCTGAACTTTCAATGCACCCACATTAATTAATAGCAAAATTGTTACAGTATTTTCAAGTAAGATTTTGCTGTTTTGTCGTATGCCACCCAGACTCACCTGTGATGAGATGGGCGGCTATATAAATTGATTTAATAAATAAAATAAATAAATACATTTGCTATGTTGAAAATATTGCCCGTTACAATAATTCTTAGAATAGCCATTTGTTGGCTGCTGCTGAAAACATCTGAACTTGTTGGTGTGAAAAATAATTGGCCTTGAAGGTCATAGGTTTGTTTCTTACTGAGATTTAATTATCTATAGGTATATATTTTAATAACTTTCTTATGTGACCGCCAGCTACCCCCTTCATCTGTGTATTTTTAACACTTGGATAGCTTGTGGAATCTTTTGGTCTGCTGTTGAAGGATTTAATTTAATTTGTTTTAATTCAAATGCATACAGTTCATTCCACCTAGCTCTTTGGTAGGACAGCAGAAGTTGGCTTCACTAAGTCTTTCATTCAGTCTGTCTCTTATAGCTCCTAATCCTTGGACTTCAAAGCTTCTACCATTTATAGCCTATTAAAGCCAGGAAGTTTCTGATGGATTAGGACAAGGAATGAGTTTGAAGTTAGTAATGCGCACCGCTGTCAACGATAAGGTCTTGTTTATTACCCTACGGTAGTATCTGCACTTTTATGGCTATTTTCTTTTAATTGTAATAGTAAAGCTGGAACTGTTAACCAGGTTGAGTATCAAAGCAGGATATCCTGGCTATTGCTTTATAAGGAACATATTTCTGACTTTGAGCAAATCAGATTTTGATTCTGTTGTTCACTGCAGAGAGTATTTTTGCTATGCATAGATTGGACCTATAAGCAGATATCAAAGGTAATTTCACTCATTATGGCCTATAATAAATTGCATTTGGCTACTGCAGTAGTAGCCATAATGTCTCTTAGCTTATCCAAACATTATTGTACCGCTGCTCTATTATGGCCACATAACTTTATAAATAGAACTCTTTCTGTGTTATTATGGCTTAATTATAATCAAGCTGTATAGTAAAAATATGTCTGTGTGCAAGATGTAGGCAAAATTATTTTTAAAATATTAACTGATGCTAGTGTTCATTGGAATAGGTGGAGGACAATTTAAAGTCACTTTGATATCTTAGATAGTTTCTGTGCCTCCTCTGTTTCTATAAAGCAAATGCTACTGCTATGATCATGTTATATATGATAACAAGACATAAAACCTAATCATACAGAAATTTGGTTTCCGTGGGTCACAACTATTTTGTGCAAACTCTAGATTTCTTGCTTTGTCATTAAAACTCTTGAGGAAATTGCAGGTGTTCCCATCAAGAAAGATAGTAATGCCAAATTTATTATTTTTTCTTAGAAATTTATTTTTCCAGTCTTTAAATCATTTGCTGTATAAAAATTAAAGAATAATTTATATTTATTATTTCTAGAGAAGGGGAAAAGATAAAAGAATCCTTCATTTTCAGATGGTTTGTTGATTACAGGCTAGTTTCCAAAGCAGGGTATAAATAGCTTCATTTCTCTTTGCAATCCATCCCATGGCAAAATCCTACCTCTCACAGCATTCATTTTTTCCATGTGGAAAAAGTCTGTGTTTGAGATAAGGGGATTCTACAGCTTTTGTGAATTAAAGATTCTGGCTGTGATATTGCAGATCAAATCATAGCCTAAGTTATTATTAGTGACTTGGCCTGCTCTATGGCCCAAAGCTCAAAGCAAATACTCATGTTGCATTGTTAGCATTCTCTGAGCTTTGTTTTGGGGTTACAAACATTTAATAAACTTATTAGATAGCATCATCAATTCATGAGTTTTGAGGAAGTCAGTTTTGTTGATTGGCTAACACAACTATTAGTAATTTATGATGATATAGGAGAATCCCTGGCTTATAAACTTAGAGGCACTCCATCTCATATTCTGCATTTTCAAATGCCTTCTATCTGAGTGAACTGTTGCATTCTCTGCATCACAGTTTGTTCTGGCTTCCTCTTTATTATGAAATTGTGTAGCCACATATTCTCCCTGGGCTTCAAACTCTAGTTTCTCTCCTTCTTGAGACAAGAAGTCTTCTGCAAATGCATGCAACCAGTGTAGTGTTGTGGCTATAGTGTTGGACCAGGACCAGGGAGACCCAGTTTCAAATCTTCCTTCAGTCATGGAAATTAATTGGGTGACTTTTAGCCAATTATTCTCTCTCAGAGCAGCCTGCCTGGCAGGTTTGTTGTTGTACATTTAAAAGGGACATTCCTAAGTAATATGTCTTGAGCTCACATAGAAAGATGGAATATAAATCTAACAAATAAACCACAGGAGCCTGGAATCACAACAGTTTGGCTAAAAATACAGCATTTAATGTTATTGGGCGTCACTCAGTTTGAGATCCTTGATAACTGGGGAAGCAGTAGGTGACTTTTTTTTTAAATAAAAATGATGTATTCTTTCTAAGTTTGCTTATTTATTTAATAATTTATTGTCTGTCTCAGTCATCAAAGCAACTCTAGGATTGCTTTATTAGGAAAGCAAATCCCTCTAGGGCAGGGGGTCTTAATATGGGGTCTGTGGATAGATTTCAGGGGGTTTATGAACTTGGATGGGAAAAAAAGTTACAGCTTTATTTTTATTATCCTCCAACTGAAATTTAGCTTGTCTTGTTATTGATTTAATGTATTAATAAAGAAGCACATATAATATTATATTACTTTTTTAAAAAAAATTGGTAACTGTATTTGAGCATAATTTCTTTCCTTTGTAATACAGTCTATAAGTATTTTATTTTATGCATTTAAATACATTTTTTTGTGAGAAGGGGTCTGTAGGTTTCACTAGACTCTCAAAAGGGTCCATGGTACAAAATAGGTTAAGAAGCCCTGCTCTAGGGGAGGCATGGAAACAGATACCAGAGGATATCTGCCAGATACCAGAAGGTTAAAATCTTGTGCTTGATTAGATAGCTCTAGATCAATGTTTTCATTTTTGCAGCTGCCAGATGTATAAACTTCTAACTCAGAATTCTCAGAAATGGCCATACTGGCTAGGGAATTATGGGAGTTGGTCCTCATTTTTCAAAGTTAGGAAACATTAGTCTAAATAATATAAGGAGTAGGTAGCACAAAGCAAGGAAACTCACAAGGTAACCAAATTCAATTCTAGTTACAGAATGTTGAGATCCTATCCCAGTGACTGGAGGCTGTGTGGACCTGGATGGGGAGGAACTGTCTTCAATTCAGTCTTATGAAAACCATGTAGTTGAGGGTAATGGCTGTGGATATTGGAGCCAGCTGATTCTAGGGATATTCCAACTTTGATCCTGGATGGGGTTCAAAAGTGATGCACAGTCTGGGAGCCTTCATGGACTCACAGCTCCTGCTTGATGAGCAGGTAGCAGCTGTGGCCAGGAAGGCCTTCACACAGCTTCATCTTGTGTGCCAGGTGTGCCCTTTCCTGGATTAGGAGGCCCTTCAGACAGTCATTCATACCCTAGTCACCTCATGGCTCAACTATTGCAACATGCCCTATGTAGGGCTGCCCTGCTACTCAGAAGACTACTCAGAAGCTTCATCTAGTCCAGAGTGCAGTGGCAGAGGCAATTATGGGCATGCCTCAGTATGTCCATGTGACACTTTTGTTCTGCAAGCTGCACTGGTTGCCAATTTGCTTCTGGGTACATTTAAAGGTACTGGTTATAACCTATAAAACTCTGTATGATATGGGATCTGGTTATTTGAGGGATGGCCTATCTACTATGGTTTCTGCCTAGCTGGTAAGGGCTGACAGAATGGTTTCTTTGGTTAAACAATGGCATCTATCAGAACCCAGGAGCCCACCTGTCCTCTGGAAAGCGGTTTCCCCTAAAATCCTATGGCTCCCACCCTGTTGGTATTCTGGAGGGCCATAAAGACCTGGCATTCTCCCAGATCTTAGGCTAGAACGGCTGAAGCCCTCTTTGCTGGATGTTAGATGTTGATGGATGTTTTGAGGTGTCTGTTAGGTTTGCCATCTTGGTTTTTT